GGCAGGAGCTGCAGCTGTTTTTGTTATGTTCCATGGCATTAAGGTCCTGCAGTGTGGAAGGCATCAGACACCTCACTTAGTGTCACACGCTGAAGCCAGTAAGTCAAGCAATTGCAAGTGTTTTCTAAAGGCACACATATTATGTATTATAAGAGTAGAATAGTGCACAAAGGACAAAGGGAGAAAGATAAGAAACTGTATTCAGTAAAACACATCCAATTTACTCAAATAGGGCTTCGCTACAGAAAAGCTGGGAATCACCCTTTGTTTTGTCTTCTTTAATTTATTTTTTATTCAGTTCTTTGTTCTTAATAGGTTTTCCAGGTTCTTGCACCAATATTGAGTATTTGGCAGAGAACTATCTGCAAATCTAACACTTTCATTTGTCACTCAGGTAGTTAGACTCTGCATACAAAGGATTTTTTTTTTTTTTCTTCAGTCTGGGGGTCAAATAATTTAAATTAAAGGAGTACAGCTGTTTTCCTGTGTTGAAAAAGTACCCCTCTGTATCCCATTAATTAATTTTTAAGAAATTATTTGATGTTAGGGTGGTCTAGGTCTGGGTTTGCTCCTAAAAATTCTGACTAAATCAGTTGCCAAAAGATGTGTTTGCATTATCAACTTCAGAGAATTAAGATTCTCTCCCTTTCTGGTGTCTTTCTGGCTTCCTTACTTTTTCAAACTCACCCACCTGGGCACACACCCTTTTGCCTACTATGAGTTTTCTATTTTATTGCCTGAAATTCGTGTTAGTCTCCCTTCTTTTTAATAAATGAGAACCCCAAATCTCATCTACATTGCTCTTGAAATAATTACAGAAACTCAGGAAAACAGTGTTTCTAAATGCAACCAAATAAGAATGTGGATAATGTTCTCACAGATGTTAATAATATTGAATGGTGAAAGGTAGTAGACTCAGTGGCAGAGAACGGAAGAGTTTATTATTTTTGCATTAACATCCACCTAACAATATAAAGGGATCACAACTGATATTCTAGATATATAATGAACGAGAATATAGTGAGTGTGCTTGGCCTTGTAAACTTGCACCAGAATAATGTCCTTATTAATGGTTTTGTTTGTTTGTTTGTTTTTCTTAGGAAGCAGGGACTTACAGTATGGGCACAGGACTGGGCACAGTATTTAATGCTTAGTTTTTTCCATTACACAGTTTTCAAGGCTCTTAGTTGTTCTGGTTTTGCACATTCATTTTGTGAAAGTAGTGTTGAGTAGAAAATTTCTAAAAGCTATTCTCTCACAAAAGTCTGTCAAAATGACATCTGTGCTACTGCTCATGGCCTTGATAATATTCCTTAGGAGTCTTCACAGTCACTGGAAACAGAAGCCAGTATTAATAGCGTTGTCTAGTTTCTGCATCTCCTTCTGGTGCATGCCAGTCAAGACATTTCTGACAAAAGGACACATTGTAGGAGGTTTTGTCTGCTTCTCCTTCGGTGCAGTTTTGGTACAACTTCTCCTTTTGGTGAAATTTCACATTGGCTTTTGCCAGTATCACACATTCACAGTTGCAGAAGTCAGAACATTTCCTTAGAATGGGGAAGTCAAGCAAGACTGCTTGAAAGACAAGTATAGGCTTAGACTTTATGTTTGGAACTGCAGTTGCAGAATACTGAACTGCAGAGGAAGACAAGCTAAGGCTCAGGCAGGGAAAATTAGCAGAGCAGGTAGCACATGCACTCTGCATGCTGAGCACCTCTCCCAAACCTCTGAAGAATGGAATTTGGTAGAGAGCTTCAGGAAGTCTGTCCACATGAAGCAGGTCTGAACCTGAGCATCACAACTGAATTCCATGAGACCTCATCTGATTTGTAATGTGGAACAGTGACTGAAGTTCAGAGAAACCACACAAAAAAGAAAAATATATACACAGAAACTATGAACTCCCTGGCTAGATTTCCACAACTGGACGAGGTCTGCATTAGATAAGTATAGCTGACCACTATACAAAGGATGGAGCTCTGGTCTGTGGTTTTGGAGGTATCTTCCAAGGCATAGTTTAGAGAGATTATATTCCATTCAATATTTCTTGACTTCTGGAGTACAATAGTTGATTTTTATCTCCCACAGAAATTTCTGTGCTTTTTTTTTTTTTTTCAACATACCTTTTCCCCACTGTCCTTGATCTGAGAGCAGCTTTCAAGTCTTCAAATTGCAGGTACACACCATATAGAATATGCTTGAGGGCCAGATATCTGAACACCCATGTTCCTTTGTATAATTGGAGTGCACTGTACTCATCATTATTAGCAAGGGTTGCCCTCTCCGACGGATACGCATCTTCCCTGAAACAGATGTGGCACGGACACCAAATCCATCAACATGGCATGGTGCTTGACCTCTGCCCAAAAGCTCAGGGACTCATTCAACCTACTGCAGCAACTGTGAAAGAGGCTTTAGTTCTCTCCTTCACTCTCCCTCACTTCCCTCTCAACCCTTGAATTTTTATCTTTCCCAGAGCACATGTGCTCCACTGAGAACATGAAGAGCTGGTGATGGCATGAGGGGTGAGATGTGAATGGAAAGACTAGAATCTCTTGAGCATAAAAATAAATGCAGCTAGAGTCTGAGACTTCTGGGATTTTGCTGCTTTCCCTGTGCTTTCAGCAAGACAGGAGAGAACAAGAATAATCTCTCTCTGCTCTCAACCCTGCTTTCTTCCTCTCTTGCTTCATCACGTCACTCCATATCCTGTCCCTGTGTCACTGCACCTCCTTCCTTCCAGCTCCATCACCTATTCAGTTCCTAGAAGTTCTCTGGCAGTAGAGATCTCTATGTTGTATTATATTCTGTGACCCTTTGAAAGCTATTTATCCTTTTTTTTTGTCCTTGGTAGGCAAGTCATTCGTTCAAACCCAGGAATTCTTTTGCTTACATCTCCATTTTCTGGAGGGGAAAAAGCTTCACAATAAGGGTCTGAAGTAACTGGTGGAGGTTGATATTCAGACATATATTTTATAGGTATTGAAACACATCTGGGTATGAAAATGTCCTTGTAATGTAGGAATCTAATATTTATGTTAATTAGATTACCATAAAATGTTGCAATAGAGTGGTTTTCTGGTTTGGGTTTTTTTTTTAAATGTTTTCTCAGGATCAGTTGTTTTCTGACCATTTCCTTCATTTATGTGATACTGCTGGGTTAACTACATGGTTACAGCCAATTGTGAGAACTTCTATCTACCTGCTGGGCACTGGAAAAGGACTTTACTTGAAATGGAGTGTAAGCCAGTGTCTGCACCTGTGTTCACATGTGCACATGTGAACTTGACTGACTAGTTCTCTTAAGAAGTCTTTGGAGATAAATTTACACTGCAATAGTAGGACTCCTTAAGCAGTAAGCTTGTTTGCATGTCACTGGCCACACCTGTGAGAGCTCCAAAAGATGCATTAATACTGCAGGCTAAATGGCTATAGATTAGGCAATGGTCAGTCTGTCTGTATATTGGGGACACGAGTGCATAGACATTTAAACCCAACATGGAATCATGGTTGTTTTTCAAAGCATGACCCAAAGCCAGCCTAAAGCTTTTGTCTGAACATAGGTGTACTCCCAAGCAACTCAAATGCACAGAAAGTGATGATGGGTGCAAGCTCTGGCTGGTATCGAGAAAGCAACGCATATCCACTATTAGTGCAGCACATTGACAGAGGCAGTTTTCAAAGAAAACAACAGCCCGGTAGAACAAATAATTGTTTTCCTTCTCAATATTCATCTTCATTTGATTGACAAAGCAATGTCAAAACAATGTAAAGCTGATTATTTAAATCTAGACTGACAGAACAGGGAAACTGAGTGCCAAAACCAAGACAAAATGGCTACAGAATAAAGCACTGTGGGTTCTCTGTATTTAAGAATGCACTGCATATTGTCCCTTTGACCACTAAACACAGCCCCTTAGGCTCAGATTTTAAGCCTGAATTGAAGGCTGTAGCTTGGAAAGTGTTTGTTTGTTTTGGTTTGTTTTGGTTTGGTTTGGTTTGGTTTTAAACCATTAACCTTTCAGTTACTATTAGAGAGAATGGAACTGGAGGGTAGAAGAAAAAATATTGTCTCAGCTGTAAGAGCATGTATCTAAGAGCAACTCGTGTCTTTGGAAGGAAATGCTAAAATTAAGATAGCTGTTGCTCTACAGTTTGCTCTGTATAAGTGTCTGAAAACAAAGAATAACTATTTTAAACAGAAGTGAAGGGTCCAGCCGTTAGTTTGGTTTGGGTTTTTTTTGCCTATTTCAGTTTCAAGTAAGACCGCCAAAATGGTAAAGGTACAGTCATAAAGGCACAAACATTGTAGCCTGTTGTATTCAACTCTGATTTTAGCCTGTCCAACGTTGTTGCCTACAAACATGCTGTTCATCTTCCCTGCATGTTCTCTTCTAGAAACTGGTGGTGAGGGTAAAGAACGTGGTCTCTGTGAGCAGAGTTTCCACTGCCTGGCTTGACAGAAATTTAGCAAGTCAGCTACACTTGCATTTTAAATGAGCATGTATGTTCAGTTAGATGAAAGGGAAATACCAACTTGTATAAGTGGAAGGATTTGTTATGTTTTATGGGAATATTTTTAGCTTTCATCAGACCTTATCACTGATGATGTGCATGTATTCTTTGTTGCTTGTGACTGTAGAACAGTATGCCCAAGTACCTGTATTGTATCTAGTAGATCTTTCCTGGAGGCTTTCTCCCTAGAAAAATATGTCAAAGCTCCCCCCCAAAAAGGACAGTTGTTCAAACTATCCAAAGGGAAGGAATTTCCTAATCTTTAACTGGTAAGGATCTTAAACAGTAAAGCAAAAAAGCTCAGTGAAATTGTTTCAAATATTGAAAACTGAGCCATGGCTTCACAAAAATATTTGTGACTTGGGTCTCTGAATTCTGGTCCTTATTATACTGAATTGCAATATTTTGTGTGACTGTGTAAATATGTCAAGGGGACTTTTTTCAACCTCCTATGCAAAATAAAGGTCACTGTTTCTCGTATAGGCTATTTTACGTGAGATTTATATTAGCCAGATAATCCGTCAGGCAAGTTTATTAGATACAGAAGACAGCTTTGGGCCTCATCAGCATTACAAAGACCAATTATGACTGCAAAGTTATTAATAGTTTATGTACTTTTGGGGGGTAATCTGATACAAGTTTAAGCTCTATATTTCATTACTGATTTAAAGAAAAAATTGTTTGCTAAAGAAAACATGGGTTTTGGGACATTGCTAGTACTTTTCTAAAATGAAGGGACCTTTAAGGAAAGAAGTAGGAAAATTGATGTGTCTCTGACAAAAATATTTAATTAAATATAAAGGGGATAAATATTCAATTGTGTACACATTTTACTTTTATTATTTACTATATTATGATTAGATTTAACATATAAAATTATTTAACTTCAGAATTCATACAGTAGATCTGAATAATTAAACATGAAATTTTGCATTTTATTGCCTTCAGTAGAGTTTTTGTAGTAAAATATATTTCTTGATACTGTTATGCACTTACAGTTGGGTAGATAATAGAGTTGTCATAGTACTTCACATTATTCATTGTATCTCAGTAACTGATTTAATAATTAATGGAAAAATTTCTCAAATTAATGAGATTGAAAAAAATGCATCTTGCTTAGTGTAGCACTGAGTTAATAATTTGTCCTTAAAGATTCTTAAAGCGTATGACAGTATTGGCTTCTGTCAAAGATTAGATGAGGTTACCAACTGGCAATCGGGGTAGACAGATGTATGCATAAGGTGTTTTACTCAAATTGATGGGATTACCATCCAGTCTGATGTCTTCAAGAGCCCTACGTACATAAGTAAAATCCTTCATTTTGCAGAAAGTGTCTTCATGCATCTCTTGAATGTTGTTGTTCTAAAAAAAAAAAAAAAATAGTTGCCTGAAAGTAATTTTTTAATATTTGAAGAAAAATTTATGGCTGTATTTTCAGTGCCTAGAGAGATACTTGTTTGATCCCAAGGGCTGTAAACCATCCACAGAGAAATTTTCCAAGTAGCAGGAAAACTCCTTGGCCAATGCAAAGCTTCAAAACTAAGTAATTCAAACCTTGTACCAGAGACAGGCTTTGCAGGAGAGGAAAGGTAGAAGTATAGAGCATTTTCATATCCAGGATCATATTGAAGAGCCTTATTAAAGCACATTGGAATCAACATAGGCCACTCCAAAAATCATAGAACTGTAATTATCATTCTGACAGCTTTGATACACCTCAAGCTGCAAAAGCACAAATCTGCAGTTTGATCTGGGACAAATTTTTTCCCTCAGGCCCTCTCACATTAGATTAACGTTAACCCCATCTAAATATATTTATAGAAAATTGAATGCTTTAGGTTTTATTCCTTTGAATTAAATTCCTCTTATATACCTTACCTTTGCTGAACTTTTGTTATTGAAGTGAACCATTTTCAATAATGAATTGCTAGAATACAATATTGTCTGGAAATTGAGACAGAATCACAGAATCATCTAGGTTGGATAAGACCTTGAAGATCATCCAGTCCAACCATTAACCTAAAACTGACAGTTCCCAACTATACCATATCCCTAAGCAATATGTCTACCCGACTCTTAAACACCTCCAGGGATGGGGACTCTACCACATCCCTGAGCAGCCCATTCCAATTTCTAACAACCCATTCTGTAAAGAAATGCTTCCTAATACTCAGTCTAAACCTTCCCTGGTGCAACTTCAGGCCATTACTTCTTGTCCTATCACTTTTTACTTGGCTAAAGAGGTAGCTGTAGAGGGTGATGAGGTCTCCCCTCAGCCTCCTCTTCTCCAGATTAAACACCCCCAGTTCCCTCAGCCGCTCCCCGTACGACCTGTGCTCCAGACCCTGCACCAGCTTCGTTGCCCTTCTTTGGACACGCTCGAGTCATTCAATGTCCTTTTTGGAGTGAGGGACCCAAAACTGAACACAGGAATCGAGGCGCTGCCTCACCAGTGCCGAGTACAGGGGTCAGATCCCTTCCCTGTCCCTGCTGGCCACGCTATTGCTGACACAAGCCAGGATGCCATTGGCCTTCTTGGCCACCTGGGCACACTGCTGGCTCCTGTTAAGCCGGCTGTCAATCAACCCCCCCAGGTCCCTCTCTGACTGGCAGCTCTCCAGCCACTCCTCCCCAAGCCTGTAGCGCTGCTGGGGGTTGTTGTGGCCCAAGGGCAGCCCCCGGCATTTGTCCTTATTGAAACTCCTCCAGTTGGCCTCAGCCCATGGCTCCAGCCTGTCCAGGTCTCTCTGCAGAGCCTCCCTACCCTCGAGCAGATCAACACTCCCACCCACCTTGGGGTCATCTGCAAACTGACTGAGGGTGCACTCGATCCCCTCGTCTAGATCATCAATAAAGATGTTAAACAGGAGCGGCCCCAAAATTGAGCCCTGGGGGACACCACTCGTGACCGGCCGCCAACTGGATTTAACTCCATTCACCGTAACTCTTTGGGCCCGGCCATCCAGCCAGTTTTTTACCCAGCAAGCATGTGCCCATCCAAGCCCTGAGCAGCCAGTTTCACCAGGAGAATGCTGTGGGAAATTATGTCTAAACAGTGACTAAAAAGGTCAACTCCTGAAATGAGAGCTGTCTGAAAATTCTTCCCTTCTCCACTGCTTCGCTAATCAGAAGTTGGTGTGGAAAATGTCCAGCTCATTAGCTTTTGTCTGTAACACATAGCACTGAATATTTAATTTACAGGTAGGGGCAGGTGAATAAAAATGTCAGCTAGCAGGCTGAGTCATTCTATAGATTTATTTATTAAAAGATAGAGGTCAAATTATATATGGTACAACAAGTTATTTAGTCAAAGTTTTTTTGCTGTATTTTGGGATAAGTGAAAACATCTGATAATCCAAATTGCACATTGGTACAAGATGAGATAAAGGGAAAGAAGCAGAAATTAAAAGGTTAAAAGAAAGAATGCAGAAACAAAGGTTTGTGTAAAAGCAAATGCAAAAACCAAAAAAAGATTACAGAGGGATTATGCATGGGATGTTCCAACATAGTTAAATGAAAAGTTTGGCTGAAAAATGTTAGCAACTGGGAATTACCTTTATTAAGAGAATGAAATGCGTTTCTCTGGGTATCGAAAAGTATTCCTGTTTGAAGATTTGTATGACCAGTGTGAGGGATTTCTGGTTTTGAAGTCTCTTACACTGATGTTACTTTTGACAGCTGTGAACATAACTTTAATCTTTACTATCAATAAATCTAGACTTTTATGTTTGAAAAATATTGTATTGCAAATTCTAATAATTAATCCTTAGCTGAGCTAAGTTTTGCTTCTTTCAAATACTGCATTCACTTTTTCAATTTAATATAGTTGTTAATTGTATTTTTCCAATAATTTGTTTAGTCAGGAAAGTATACTTTTAGATAAACAGAAGAAACAAAACAAAACAGTTTTACTTACTATTTGAACATGATCTATAGAGCCATTACTATTGTAGTGTACCTGAAGATGAAGAGCTTGGAGGCTTTCAGGGAGTGGAAAGGGAATGTGATCCAAGTTATTGTCAGTGATGTAAAGATGCTGCAGTTCATGAAGATCCTAGAGGATGAAGGAAAAAGGCAGGGGAAAACTGTAGACATTTTTGAAAATCTCTAGCAAGTAAGTTTGAAATCTATCACTGCAGTGAGCACCACTGATTACTATCCTAACACACTTCATTTCAGCATGATATGTTTGAAAAGGCAGAAATTCAGACAGTCATGATATAGGCTGAGACTCCTTCATAGCTAAAATCAGGAGAGTGAAAAAGAAAAGGGTGCTAGGCCAGAGTCTCAATCTGAGGGACTGATTTTTGCCCATCATTCCTACTCCCAAGAACTGCCTTATGCTGAGCTAGGAGAAAATATCTGATTCAGTAACTGCTCTTGGTTGCTTCACTGAGAAGCTGTCTTCCAAAGGAGGAATTCAGAGATGGCTGGTTACAACTGCCTTCTTGGATGCAACTGAATAGTGCATATGAGCCAGGTCTAACATATGAAACTAGCCTATATTCTATGACTTCAGATTTCACGTACAATTAGGAGCAGTACATGTCTGCTTCTCCCCACCAAAATTCTCAAGGAAGGGCAATCACTCAAAGATTCCAATTTCTTTCCTTTTCAAGGTGGAAAGAAAGTATATACATTTAGTGAATCCTCTAGGAAGTTCCCATGTAGGTACGTGGTAGAGTAAGTTTGAAGCAGCAGCATCCATAGCTTTGCCCTTTCCTCTTGCCTATTTGTAAGGGTACAGCAAAAACAACTTTCTGGAGTCTTGCTAGTCATGTGGGTAGTTGGTTCGTAGATACAAACATAGTATGCTATCATATGTCTTGTGTGGATCTTTGTGAAGAGGAATAAAAAGGGTTCTAATGTCCTGCTGATACTGCTCATACATCTCCCTCCATCTTTATAGATTACTGAGCAGCCAGCACAGTCATAGTGTCTATAATCTTAATGGTTTTACTAGTGTAGAGTGACACTTAGGCTGCTCTTCTGACCACATCCTTTGGAGAGAGGAAGAAAAGATTTTTACATCAAATCCAGACTTACTTTAAACGCCTCATTACGTATTCCTTTGCGACCAAGCCTGTTCTTACTAACATCGATGAATTTTAAGGTAGATGGTAACTCAGGGAGTTGTCTTATCTTATTGTCACGGAGCACCAGCTCCTCAAGTTGGGGCAACCTCTGGAAAGCATCTTCATGGATCTCTGATATAAAATTTCCAGTCAAATCAATCCTTTTTAATTTTTCTGGCAGAGAAATAAGATACAACAAACATCTAAGAATATATTTCCTGAAAGCTTTTTTTAAAAAGGCAAAGAAATACTAAATTACAGGTGAAGTGTCTTGAATCAGACCCATTCCCGACCCACAGTGTCACAGTTTTCTCTCTGTATATAATACAATAATCCATATTTGAACAGTTCCCCTAAGGAAGAGGATCAACATTTCCTTCTTGTTGTGCTTACAATTGCCTGTGTCATTCTCAGTATATCTTTCAGTGAAAGATTTTATTTAACAGTTTTAAAATTTGTGTGTGTCCTGGGAATCTTTTAAATTATTATCTTTTGGAAAAATAAAATTTCAAGGAAAATAAACATATTCTCTGTCACCTTGTTTCACGTTTCTTTATTTTCAACACTTTCCTATATGTTAGAATTCTGATATATTGGCTTTTTTTTTTTTTTTCCCCTAAAACATGCTCGAACGAATTTTCCAAACAAAAAAAGAAAATGAAAGTTATTTCTGGCAAAAATACAACAATGTCTAAATATCAGTGCATCAATATGTGTTAATTTTAAATGAGCTATTCTTTATCTTACTTGTGTTTTCCACCCAGAATGTTTTTAATAGTTATTTTATTTTATTATTTTATTCTTATGTTAACAGTATATTTTGGCCTAAATAATTTTTCCCTCTTCTTAGTCTTAATTCCCCTTGTTTTTTTATATACTAGTTGTGTTCCTTCCAAACCTTCATCTTGTTTTGAGCAAGCCAAACCATTATAGTTTTCTTTCATAAAAGGATCTTTACATTCCCTTGAATTATTGTAGTAGCCTTTTTTGACACTGATTCCACACTTCTCATCATGAAATCAGTAAGCATTTGTTACACAAAGTTAGGTCTAAAACAAACAAACAAAAAAAGCATGTGGCTTGATATTCAATCTGGTGAGTATATAGCAGCTCCTGTCTCTAAACAGGGTAGACAATACTGCTTGAAACATCAGGTATCTTTAAGAATCTCAGGTTAGAGATGTGAAAATAAAAGCTCCCTAAATCACCAATTTTGGGTAGTTTTAGGCCAGAAGTGGGTTTGGATTAGCAGTTTTCATTTACTGATGATTTTCTTAGATAATTCTGGAGTAAACCGATGAGTGTATACTCTAAAGGTAAAATTTAAAGATAAAATGCCTTTCATATAGATACTTTGTGGATATTTGATCTTAAAACTTGTCTGGTTTAGGAAAATTGTACTTTCTAATATTCTACAAATGTTCCATGACATTTGGGTTTTTTCCTACCTTTCTAAAGCTGATTAGAAGTAACAGCAAAAAGATAGATTAATGTTGTTATTTCTAATAATTCAAAAATTTGACAGAGTCTGCATTTGAAGTATTGACCTTTATGTTCAAAAGTAGCAAACTATTTTCCCATGTGTGCATTTATGTGTACAAACCTACCATCATCAAACATTACATAAAATGAATCACTATGTCTTAGATTAGTATGAGCCAGAACTAATAGTAATTAAAGCTAATTGCAACAATACTACTATCCATACTTAAGTTAGAAAAGTCATTTCTGTTGATCTTCCTGATTCTGTTGTAGCGTGAGTAGAAATGCGTTGTTTTCTTAGGCAACGGTGGAATGGCATGAAGCTCATGATCATCACAGTAGACTGTGGTCCCTAGGCATGTACACAAAAGGCAAGTAGGAAGACCTATCAAAGAATTTAAAAGAAAAGTTTGTTACAAAAAAAAAAAATGTACAAAAATATGTAAATTACTACAATTGAATGCTCACCTAAGCACATAATGATAAGATTTTGTTTATGATATAGTTTGCTCCCATTCTGGATCACCACAGCATATAATTGCAACAAGAAAGTGATTAAATTCTGCTTAAAACTGTATTTTTTATTTCCTATGTCTATTAGAAGGTCATTTAACTTGTTCTGATACAGTGTTTCTCAGGCTATAACAACCGAATATTATGTGACTGCAGCCAACCAAAGATCAGTTTCCCCCTAAGCTGGCAAGTGTGTACTTCCATCTAGATAGAGAAATAACAGCTGATGACTGAAACTTGCTATGATTTCCCAAGTTTGGTTCTATAAATAGTACTTCTGAATAATTTGCAAGAAAATTAATATTTTCCTACAGAGCTATAGAGAAGAATATCAATTTCCTTTGCATGTTATTTAATTACGTTTTGTGATTCAGAAATTCAGCATCATGAAAAACTTTTCTATCAGTCTGAGTTAAGGTAACTTGGAAACCATGTTAACAGAACATTTGGTTACCACCAGAAGTTCATGAAAATGAAAAGTGAAGCCATTTTACCTCAGTCATAATACTGCATGAATACCGTGAGCTCAGAAGCTTCTGAAAGTACTCTTGAGATTTGATGAGAGTAGTGACACCGACTGGTTTGTATGAGTGTCATTTTCATTAGGAAATGTTGTTAGTCGCTATGTGAGTTGAATTTTTGATGCATCTTTTCTTTGATTATGGGTATAAATATCTTTTTGTCAGTGTTTAATCCCATAGAAATACTTTTCTGTTTTATGTTTTTCTCCTCCTTGTAGCAGATGGCTGGTTATTTGTTCTGCTTACTTTACAAAATAGTAGCATAATTAATCAGTACAAAAATGTTTCTCTTGCAGATGAAATTTTTTTCTCCATAACAGTTGTGGCTACGTAGAAGATTTCTTAATCTGTATCAATTACCAACAGGCAGCAGTAACTAACTGAAGGACAAGCTATATATGTGTTATCTTTTCAAGCAAGATTAAAGCATCAGTGACCAGAGTACTCTTTTATTTAAGATTTTCTACTTGGGCACCCAGGATTAACATTTCTGGAGAGAAAAGACTCTTTTTTATACTTTTCCTAACTTTCTCCACAGGACAGTTTAAATTAGCCACAGGGAGCAAGCCTGACACCGAGAAAAAATAAATTGTCACAATTTGAACCATTCCAGGAAATCTGGGCCTAAATGAACATAAAGTTCAGGATGGCTGACATTTTTTCGAAATATTGCAACACAGTACAGGAAGAAAATTTCCCCTTCTGTCCTATTTTTGATCTTTGAGGGGTGCTAGTTGTCACGTATGGCTGGTGTAGACTGAAAAAGGACAGAAGTATGGGAAAGATTCAGAAAGATATCAACAAGAAAAATGAACTTGGCTTGGTGTTCCTGAGTCTTGTAGTCTTCTATTCAGTACCAAGCCAAGAACAGCAACAACATCTGACAGGAAAATATGTTGCTGAAAGGAAATAAGGACACAAAAAAACCCTGATTTGATATTTTACAGCCTTGAGCCTCCCATGCATATCTTTAGTTGATGCAGTAGTTGATTTGCATTCAGTGTTGCAAAAATATTGACAGATACAGAATTCATCATATATAATATTTACATGAAGTGTTTTGTAACATCCTGAATCTTTCAGAATTGAACAAATTTGTGTGTTTTTTCAGACCTCTCCTGGAAAATTCTCATTTCCATTTTTGTTTGTTTTCACATCAGTGTATTTATTTTTTGCCTGGTCAAGTCTCACTAGTAATATGTATAAAAACAAGATGAGAAATTATTAATTTCTCAATTTCTCTTCACTGAACACACAGTTTTAGAAGTATGAATTATCTTTTTTTTTTTTTCCTTTTAATTCCTCTTCTGTGGCACTCAGTAATAGTTTTAGGCATAGTAAAAAGTAGAATTTTCCTGTTGTATGTTGATCATCATACAACACACAGACCCATCACAGCAATGGATAACTCTAGTAAGCTTCAACTACAAGAGCAGAGTAGCTGCTAACAAATGCCAGTTATAAGCATCACAACGACTGTGTGGGAGAGGGACAGATTGTGTTTTACAATTTTAATTCCCCTGTGAGATGTTGAAAGTTCTGATTTCACTGTAGCTATTCAGAACAGATAATCAGTTTCACTCAAAATTTCTAAATAGTTCCCTTTCCTTCAGTTTCACCAGTTTTAGTTTTCATGATCAAAAATTTTTCAACCTTTAAATTATATTTTGTATGAACACATTTATGAAAAACATGTAACAAATAATTATAAAATAAAGATAGTTGGTAATGATATTGAAATGAAAGTAAAAAAAAAAAAAAAAAAAAAAAAAAAATTTTATTTGAAAAAATCTTCACTGGCACAGTTATCTTCATAGTGAAATAGTATGTAAACATTTTGTCTAGTCACCTATCTGACTTCAGAGCATTCAAGATGGACATGTTATACCTCTATTCAGTAAGAGAGGTACAGAAATTATATACCTCCTCTTCAGTAAGAGAGGTAGATATTCGTAATCAAGCACAATGTGGTCACTCAAAAGCAAAGCTGCACATGCAAAACTCATTTCTCTTTCCTACTAACCATCTTGAGTTTGGAGTCCAAGAACCCCAGACCCCTGTGCTGAAGACCCATCAATTAATTTTGGCGTTGATGCTTCCTCCTCGGGTTCTTCTGTCAATGGTGCAGAAGAATAACTCTCTTGAATTATAGCACGTAGTGCTGTCCCAATATCTGTCTAGGAAAAATTAAGAGGAAACAGGAAATGTTACTATTTACTTCCACTGGCAGCTGTTTCTCTTCCGGTTATTCATCTTCTCCCACTAGAGGTCACATATGTTCTGAGGTTTAGTGCTTGAGCTACAATTTATCTGGCAGCTATAATGAATTCTGATGATGTGTAAACAATGCATGAAACTCCAACATCCTTATTCACTTTTTATCTCAGTCTTTTAAATGTCTTGATGCATGCACACAGGCATATACTTCATTAGTGAGAACATGCACTAATAAAATGCTTTTTCCACATTCATTTAAAGTTAAATTAGATTTTTGATAAAAATTTATATATTCTGTGTGACAAATGAAACACTGCTGTGAAACATCAAAAAGATGCAAGTCATTTAACCATAAAATTGTAAATTGCACCAGCATAAATCAAAATCCAATGTAGTTGTTCAGGCTGTGTTACAAGAACACTAACATGATTTTAAAATCTTATTATCTAAGAATTCTAAAGTGTAAGTTTACATATTACTTGCTAATATGTTGGCAGTGGTTTTGTCACCTTTTTTTCTGAATTTAAATACCATAAAGCTTTGGTTAGCTTCATTTATAAGTGGCTGCATTATGTAGTGTGAAAAATTAAGAATATAAGTTAAAAAAAAAAAAAAAACTTGATTTAGAAAAATCTTTAAAAATTTGGCAGATCCTTTCATGGAACTAGAAATCTTGTTTTTTCTTCTCCACTCAACATAATTAGTCAAATCAGTAAATTTTATCATGTTAACTTTAATTCTAAAGATGCATTCTGTTAATTTAACTATATGATAACTTCAGGATAAAAATGAAGATACAAAAATTTTCTTGCATCATATCAACCCTCATAAAAAGACTATTTCAGATTTGCCGGGCTGGTTGCAGAGGGGTCTACCTTTGCAAAGAGACAGAGTAGTTTACTGTAATCATCTAGACACTGAGAATGAACTCTAGTTGTGTGATCTTTGCAAGTTATTTTACCACTATATCTTGATTTTCTCATGGGTAACAGTATTGTTTGACCATGTCAGGGCCTCCTTTGAAAATGCACTTTTTATTTTTTAGATCCCAGACAATGAATTAGTGTCTTTATAGGCACATCTGAGGTATTGTTTAAAAATTAGGTACTACCTTCACGCACTACACTGTGCGTGCTGCACCCCTGTACTGCAGTTAACACTCCTTAGCCTATATCTAAGTTGTGACCAAAAATAGGAATTTTGTCACAATATCTTCATCCCAAGTATGAAGGCACTAAAGCCTAAAATTATACTTTAATAAAGATTTTCCTCACTGCAGCCTTCTAGCATAACACCACTTGAATCCCAAGTTTTCTGCCTGATCATCCCCCAACTATTGCTGACTTTGCTGTCTCCACGGAGAACAGTTGTTGAAATCACTCACACTAGTGCTCATAAATTCTAGTTGTAAAAGACAGGTAAAAGTAGATTGCACCCAGACTGGATGAGTCGTTAGGATTTTTTAAATTAGGCTTTCTATGTAGACTATACAAGTTAAAGGAACTAACACACCTGAGATCTGGGTTCCAAGAACGAGTTAAACTTTTGCCATATTCTGATCCCTGTTTGAATCTCTTAGCTTAACTATATAATATTTAGCAGGTAGAGTCATTTTTGTCTTATTAATCCTGGATAGGACAGATTTAAAATATATTTTTATTAAATACCTATATATATTCGTAGGTGTATATACGACAATTTTGGAAGAAAACACTTTACCCTTTATAATAGACTCTCCGGATCTCTTTGTGTAGCTATATATCACTACTAGCAAGTTTAAATATTGCAATCCTGAACCACCTGAGAACATCTAAACCATCTAAAATCTACTCTTTGCACAGAAATAATTTGGTTTAAGTTATATAGTGGCTATAGGTTCAAATATTTTGTATCAATAAATTTCACTTGAAGACAGAGAATATGGAAGCAATGAAAAACCAGGAAGCACTCTGAACCTAACAGACTCAGATTTCAACTGAGCACACTTCAGGTTCTCTAGTTGTATTCTTTAGTTGTATTCCAATAAACCATAGACACTATTACTAAGTAGGGTTTATGGGTAAAAGTGCCCTGATACAGTTACTAGGATCATAGCTTTACAAAACGCATGGTGATCAAGTGAGCAAAATGAACTTCAGCTGAACTATGACTGAGTAACCTGTTCGTGTAAGGATGTACCTTGTTGCTTTGTGCAGACAAATACACAATGTTCCCATCTGCAGCACTGACAGTAAGACAGCTTAACCAGGAATGGACTTGTGGACAAATCAAAAGAAGACTTTGGGAACAAAGGAAATGGGACAGATGTTCTCTGAATGGAGGAGGCCTAGAGGGACAGATGCATTCCAGACGTTTATTGACCCAGGGTAGTACTGCACTAAAGTGTTTGCACATGCTGTCTACTTCTTCACCAGCTTTGTGGAAATCAGGTAACAGCCCCTGTCCTGAACTTTGGAACAAAATCTAGAGATTTTGAGACACAATAACAGCTTTGTGTGCATCTTTTGTGGCAGTTCTACTGAAAACAATATTCTAGAGAATGGCAGTTTCAAGATACAGTTTGTAAATAGGCTTCAGACCCAAGATAATGTTCCTTTCTCTTGTCACGGGATTGGGGTTATCTACACTGACTGTTACTTCTCTGAATACTAGAGGGAATACTTTATGGAATTCACTAGCTTGGGATTTGCGATTTGCTTTATCCTCTCTCAGTTGTTCTTAGTTGATTGACCACTATAGCTGTTGGGTACCAACGACAGAGGTATTAACTTCTGGTAGTTCTGTTTCTACGCTGTTATCTGTCTCTTACAGGATGTTATCTAGTTTTGGAGATGCACAGTTTAAAGTCTCCCCATAGTTTCCTTGCCAGCATGTTAAATCTGGGTTCTAGAGAAACTATTCCAAGCAGTTATCACTATCTATTGAGGCTCCTGCACTAGTTGTGACTGTCATAAAAAGATACCAGTTATTACAGTGAATTTAATGATGTTGCTACTTTTACACTGATAGTGGAGTAGGAGTTCACTGATACATATGTATGACATACCAGACCTAGAGCATGAACAGTATTTACTTGTTGTACATAGGCTGGACTTGAACCAGTAACCTAAAGGAAAAAAAGTCTGTTCCCCATTATTGGTTATCTGATCCATGCAGCTTTCTATCTTTTACATATTTGATAAATCACGCAAGATTGTAATAAGACAAAGATGTTTCTTGGACTATATACTGTACAGAATGATTCTTTATCTTCCAGATGTTTATTTATTTTTGGCAACATGCACTTTACTAAAAAACTAAAACAGAAATTATTCTGTATCACTTAATGGTATTATTCTCCATAGGGTTTGGGGGGGATTGGAGGAGGGGGTGAGGTTGTATTTCTTTTGCTACTCTTAAGTAATACTTTTCATGAAAAATCACAAAGCAGGAAGAATATTGTAGAGAAATACAATAAAGTGTGTTTCTTTTTGCCAATAATTACAAGTCTTCAAATTATAAACAGCCTTCCAGGCCAGATTTAATACACAGCATAAGAAAACACTGAAAGCAAACCATATCACCTACGTTTAGAAATCTAACTATGCATTTTATAGTTACCCTACTCTGTCTTTGGAATCAATCAATAGATCAAGAGATTTAGAGAATACCAATGCAGAATATTAGCCACAAAGCATGCCAAAGGAGAGGGATACATTTCCTAAAATTGTATGGAGTATTTACTTTGTCCCTCCTGTATTTATCCAGTGTGACTACATTTACAAATGAAACTGCTTAATGTGGATAGTCGAATTAGAGGCACTTTCAGACCACTAGAAGTAAAGAACACAGAAATCTACACATATCAAAGAGCAATAAAATAGAATTGGTAAAAGGCAACTTGTAACTTCGGTCACCCATAGGCTAAGCATTTAGTCTATATTAGCATTCTTTCACAGTCAGCAGAGAATGAGAAGAAACTTCTGAAAAGCAGCTCCACCCATTGCCCACAGATGCTTCTTTTAGGACGGGCTCTTATCTCTCACTGTTGGCTGAAAAGGAGGTGAAACAAATGAAAAGATTTTTAAGATTAGAAATGGCTCAGGAGGCTCAGCTGAGGGGGAAAAAAAAAAAAAGATAAGTATCTGTGGGCTAGGAGTCAGTAGGGGTGGAACAGAATAGAAATGAAGGTAAGAATAACTTCTATGACAATTATGGATCCACATAATCTATGCAAAGTAATAACATATAAAAATAAATAGATTTAAAGAGGCAAATGGCAAGGTTGGAAGCCATCTGTTGCCACATTTTTCTTCTGAGGTGGTGTAATTCCAGTGGTAGATATTTTGTCCTCTGTATTATGTCTACATCTTTTAGGATCAAAGTTGATATATTACATGTAATAAATTTAAATCCACAGGAGAATCTGAAGTGTGTCCTGTTTCAGTGCTTCTTTTACTGAAAAACAAAATACTTAAAAACACAACCAAAATTTCAAAACTTATAAAAAAAAAAAAAACATTACAAACTTGAAGGGACAGTTGTACCACACACTGACCCATCAAAAGGAACTAGTTTCCCCCACAGCTGTTCTGAAACTACCAAAGGCTTACAAGAAAATGTCTAATTATGGTAGAGGTTTTTGGTTTGTTTTCCTTTCCAAAAGTGGTTCATGCTTGTTTCTTCTTGAATTTTGATTTTAAGGTCTTATTTTCTCCTATGGTGCTATCTTAAAAATCAATAGATCTCTGAGCCATTGTGTACTAATACAATAACTACTTAGGTTTTATATTATGCAGCTCAGATAAATTGTTGTTTTCTTGTACAGAGCTACATAAAAAAGTTGTGTGGAGAAATTAGTGTAAGAAAAGTGAAATCTTGGGGAAGAGGAAGCTGATATTTTTTTTACAAAATTTCTAAGTAAACTGATTTTACCTACTCAGTCATTCTCCCAGATTTTAATCACTTGCACATTTACACC